TAGCTGCATCATAGATAACACTCCTTTTGCTCTATTTTACATCTTTTTGATGATAAAACCTGTTAAGACCTTAAAATCTACAAATACGAGAAAACAACCTCTTTTGGTCGAAAAGATTTATTAATATATGTAAAAACCATAGTAAAATAGATAGTAAAAGTGGTAAAATATAGGGTATATCAGAGCCCAATCTCATGATTTTAGGTGGGATTGTAGAGAATTCACACAAAATCACTAAAATCATTTAAAATCTCATTACAATTTAAATCTCTTCAAATGTCCCTTAGTATTTAAACATATAAAGGGTTAAGAAAAATGTTTTATTTTGCACAAGTCAAGCATGCTTTGGTAATATAGTATAATCTCTACAACTTAATTATATCAAGACTGTAATATTTTTCATTTTTAGAGATATTAGTTATATCAGAAAATACATACATAAACTAAATTAGGGCTATGCAACTGACGACGACGATGGCGATTTCGAATCTCAAAGCATGATTCACGAGGAGAGAGACGCGGCGGCAGATAGATCGGAAAAATCAGGCGGATCTTGGGGACGATTGAAGGAGGATTTTCGGTGGATCTATTGGTCAAAATGGTATCGGTTTTATTATGGCTATGGATTCAATTTCGGGGATTGGATATGGCAAATCCTAGGTTTTCACACTTCGAATCAAAAGATTGCTGAGATTTCGGGTGTGCGCTCAGGTTATCTGGGAAAGACAAGGAACAAAGGGGAATATTGGCAAATCTGGATTCAATTGCAATTGATTACAGATCGGATTTGGAATTGCTTTTCGTTAAATCAAAGGATTTCCATAAACAATGACGATCCAAGTTGCGGTGATATGGGAAATAAATGGGGATGGTGTAATCGACTCCAGCTACAATCAAGGGATGCGAGATCCAAGAGTTTATTGCGATCTTACAAGAACCCTTACTGGAGATGTTATATAGAGCGTTGTAGCAGGCTTATGGTTCTACATCAAAGCAATCACAATTCACATATAGTTTTGTCTCTCGTTCTCACACAATTCTATATCTCGCGACTGGTGCTACTGGTTACAATGGGCCAACGCAATATGCTATCCAACGAAGGTGTGGAGAAGTCTCTACCTGCAGTGACATTGAAAATGAGAATCAAGATTCCACAATTCGATAATTCTGCTTTGGTTCAAGGGTATTTGAGAACCTTGGTTGGCCGATGTATGAATATGAGGGTTCAAAACATGAACAACCTATTGTTCATACTTCCTCGAATCTGGAACGTGGAAGACGGGGTTGCAGGAGCTGACTTGGGAATGGGCCGGTTCCAGTTTGACTTTGATGAAGAGGAGGACATTGTGGAGGTGTTAAAGATGGAGCCGTTTCATTTTGATCATTGGATGCTGTCAATTGTGAGGTGGGAACCCAGGATTGAAGCTTTTTATCTGTCGGATATTACGTTATGGGTTCGTATAATGGGAGTCCCATTACACTACTGGGCAGAGCCAACCTTCCGATCTATCGGGAAGGCTATCGGGAGGGTGCATTTGGTTGATAGTTGATATAATGCGTTTTTGGCGCATTTTAACCCTTGTTTTGTAGGCYTTTATYGAGTMTTTCACTCTCTATCGAGTCATTCTAGGTACAAAAAGTGGCTGGAAGCAATGACTGGAACTTGCAATCGGATTTGGCTAGAAAGGAATGAAGTTGGACCCTTTTTGAACATTCTGGAGGAAGGGAGCACCTAGTACAAAAGAGGGAGCACCTGCTCCCAGCAGAGTCATTAATGGGC